CACACACACACACACAGTCAGTCATTTTTCATGCTCAGTATAGATAAATGATCACAGATCCGATGGACGGATACATACTCTGTATGCACGGTTGCACAAGCATACATCTGAAAGGTGTAGAGATATGAGTGAGATATTAAGGACGGGGGGATGGGACGCGAGAGATAAGAGTGACATACATACGAAGTAATCAGCGGCCATAATACTACTAGCAGACACAGAGGAAGATATAAAAAGAGGAGATAAAGTAGGAGGAATGAAGAAAGAAGACAGGAGGCAAAGACAGAAAGAGAAAGAAAGAAAGAAAGAAAAAAAAGGCAGGGGAGTGTAGAAGCGGGGGTGTTGAGCTGTGGAGGAAGATACACACAAAACACACACGCATACATCCACGCACACCCCCGCCCCAGCACACACAAACACACACAAAGTTAATTAAGGAGGGGGTGTAGGGGTTGGCGCAAGGGGCACGAGGTGCAGGAATTCATTAGAGCTCTGCCCCCTCCTTCAGTGGGCAGCCCAGCAGCCACAGGAGTCAATCAATAACATAGATCTGCTGTGGGCCAACAACAAACACACACACACAAACACACATGTACACGTATATGGAGAAAGGAGAGGCAGACAAATGGAAGGAGAGGAAGCGAAGGGGAGAAAGAGAAAAGAGGGTCACCTCTGACCCCCATCTCCCTCCACTCATCTGTTCATTGGACGAGTGAATGACCCCTGACCACTTTTCCCAGCATCCCCTGGACACGTGCATCTACAGATGGAACATGTCCGCCCTCCTCACAGTCATACAGTAACAATGCTTCAGTCACACACACTGCAGATTAAATGGCAGAGTTATGGAAAAGCAATTGTGATTTGTGATTTCCTCGCACACAACAGTCAAAATTCATTTCTGAAATTAATATCTGTGTTATAAACATTAGAGAAGGAGTCACAATGTCTTACTGACACACTCTGCCATACAACATATACAGTATCCTGCTTTCTGAGGATTTATCCACATTTCTGAGTCTAAGCGTGAGATATTAGAAATTAGTATTCAGCTGACCACAAACAGGCTTCTGCGCCAAATAATCGGAATATACTACATAATCCTCCTTCACTTATGTAAGCTTTATCGGGCCCTGCATAGCTGGTGTGTTACTTAAACCTCATCCTGTTCCGACAGATAAAATCATTTACCACACCAGAAACAGTCGCACCTAATCCCATGCACGCAGCTTATGGATTTCATCATACGTGTGCCGGGTTTTGCTGAGGATTTGTAGACACACATATTGTGGTGTCTTTCAGAAGCAATAGGTTTATCCAGAGTTTTAGAGACACCGGGGTTACATCATTCCTTTGTGTGCATATGCTGAGTGTTAACGTACTCGTTGTCATGAGACAACCAATGAATTTCAATGGCATGGGATATGGCTTTGAACTGCGTGGTCAGATAGAAAAACAATAGCATTTTCCTCATTTTTCCCCCCTCCTTTCTTCTGCCTTTACAGTGCAGCGGTCTCTGTACAGTGAAGGGAATTTTCATTTTCCCCTTCATAAAAGAGTCCGAATAATTTAGATTTCTGCTTTCTGAAGAGATCCTCCGTTTAATTTGGTTGCCATGGTAGCCGAGCACCCTTGGCTTCAACATTTATGCTAAATAAAAACCCCTTTTAAAAAGGAGAGACAAATATGTGGAAATGGTGGTTCTCTTTGTTCATGTGTGTGTTTGCGTTTATGTGTGTGCGCACGCGTGAGTGATGCTGCAAGCTATGTGGGGGCTTGAGTGGGAAAAAAGCAAAGGCGGAATAAGACTTGCCTTGGAATAAAAGATGTGTGTGTTGAACTATACTTCAAATGCGTTGTGAGGGATACTGCATTTATCATCCATTGAGAGAGTTACAGCTAATGGATAGAAGATACAGTTTTATGTGCTGTGGTTGGAGGCTGCACTGTATATCTGAGTGAAGTGTGTGTGTGTTTCACAAGGGGAGTTGTGTTATTAGAGAGCACACTTTGACGCAGTAAAGAGGAGGAGAGGGAAGGCCTGAAAAGGGAGGGAAGGGTCAGCTGACCCAGTTTGACCTCTGATCTTCTGTTCTGATTATGCTCAAGGAGTGTGTGTGTGTCTGTGTGT